AACCAAAGGAAAAATAAACAAATGGGATTATATCAAACTAAAAAGCTTCTGCACAGCAAAAGAAACAATTAACAGAGTTAAAAGAAAGCCAACAGAGTGGGAGAAAATATTTGCAAAATATATATCTAACAAAGCATTAATATCCAGAATATATAAGGAACTGAAACAACTTTACAACTAAAAAAAAAGTAACCCAATTAAAAAATGGGCAAAAGATTTAAATAGGCATTTCCCAGAGGAAGATATATGAATGGCAAACAGGAACATGAAAAAATGCTCAACATCACTCAGCATTTGGGAAACGCAAATCAAAACCACTCTGAGATACCATCTCACCCCAGTTAGGATGGCTAATATCAAAAAGACTGTGAATGATAAATGCTGGCGAGGTTGCAGAGAAAAAGGAACTCTCATACATTGTTGGTGGGACTGCAAAATGGTGCAGCCTCTATGGAAAATGGTATGGAGATTCCTCAAACAATTGCAGGTAGATCTACCATATGACCCAGCTATCCCACTCTGGGAATACACCCAGAGGAATGGAAATCATCAAGTCAAAGGTATACCTGTTCTCCAATGTTCACTGCAGCACTATTTACAATAGCTAAGAGCTGGAACCAGCCTAAACGTCCATCATCAGATGAGTGGATACGGAAAATGTGGTATATCTACACAATGGAATACTATTCTGCTATAAAACAGAATGAAATACTGCCATTTGGAACAAAATGGATGGACCTAGAGAGAATTATATTAAGTGAAACAAGTCAGGCACAGAAAGAGAAATATCACATGTTCTCACTTATTTGTGGGAGCTAAAAATAAATAAATAAATACACAAATAACCGGGGGGCAGGGAGAAGACACAACAATCACAATTCCTTGAAGTTGATACAACAAGAGAACAGAAAGGATGTTGTTGGGAGAGAGGGGGAGAGGGAGGAGGGAGGGAGGTTTCGGTAATGGGCCACAATAATCAACCATATTGAATGTTGACAAAATAAAATAAAATTTTTAAAAAATGAATAAATAAATAAAATAAGTATTATCTATTTGTTTTCAAGAAAGGTTTTAGAATACACTTCTATTTGCATTTTGAATTAATTCCTGTGTCTTGAATCAATACCAATAAGTCTAAAGAGAAGGCAGTCAACAGTTATGAGTGTTTGATATTTAAAGAGATGTGCGTGTTGTGTTCACGTGGAAGAGCCTAAAAGCACATACACTGGCAAGAAAAGAAAGACACTCACCGGCTTCCTGTCTGCTTGTTTACAAGAGAGCAAGCAGTGACCCATTTGTCTCCTTGAGCTTCCAAGATCAATGGGCTGGATTAAAAATAAGAAACAAAAGACAGAAGACAATAGTGCAATGTTCCCAGTAAACATGCTGACAAAACTCAGAGGAAACACGGCTATGAACATTTTCCTCTGGACGTATGGGGCACTATCAGGTGGCTGAAGGCTGTGCCCTGGGGGTATGTCAATTCAAATTCTCAGCTAGAGAGTAGGGGTGCACTCATGGCCCGGGCTTTCACGCTGTAGAGGGAGCATTTGCCTTTCCCCAAAAATCGTCTTCATCTCCGCACCAGCAATGTTAGATTATATATATAATAGAGTTATTGTGGAGTTTATGCCTTTAGTCCTCCTTTCAAAGGCTGCATCCCAGACCAAGCCTGAGATGGGACCAAGCAGTGAATGTGGTATACTTTTAAGGGTGTGGAGTTTTTATCCCCCACAGACAGAGTAATTTCCTTGTGAGACAAGCTGACCATTACTTAATGCCAGAAATGTAGATCCTGAGAGTAGTCAAATCATGTTCTCTTCAACTGGGGCAGAATCAGACAGATGGAACAGAACAGAGGATGTCCCCAACCCATCCAGGGGAGAAGGAAAAATTAGACACAGTATGTAGGATCTGTGTAGCTGAGCACAGAATGAGATTATGCTCCTGCTGCCTTGTAAATCCTCACCCCAACTGCTTCATTTGTTGAATGCTAGTAGTTGCTTAGAGTTTCCCACAAACTCCACAATTCAACACTTCCTGTCATTCTCCTCTCTCTCTAGCATGGATGATTTAATAGTAACACTTTCCACTTAACAAGTCTCCAGTGAACAAAGTCATGTTGACATCCTAACTATTCCCAGAACACATTAAAAGCTCAATGGCTTTTAGTACCTTTGTCCTTGTTTTCCTCTGATCCCACTGACAGAATTTCTAAACACACAAATGAATAACAACCATACAAGGAAGTTATAATGGGCTTTTGGGTTTACACATCATTTTATAAAGAATTTACTACAGCCTAAAAAACAAGAGGAGGAAGGGTAAGAATCGAAAAAGAAAATCCACAGATGCAATTACAGTACAATTCACACTGAGCCCAGAGTGACTAGTTGTCAGTAAATAAATGGACCAATTTAATCGACCAGTCGCAATTACATTAACAAAGTTTGCTGAAGCCCAGCTCACCAGGGACCATAAACTGCAAAGAGGAAAATAGAAATTCTGTGCCAACTGCTTACAATTTATTGCCATAGGGGAAGCTGGTCCCAGGAAGCCATCCAACATATACGTAACTAGTTGAACACAGAAACAAACACTTGCTTACCTATCAATGTACTCAGCCTCAAGATCAAAGGTTTCCAATCTTCCAGTGACAATCCAGCCATACACATGAATGATTTTTCCTATTTTAAAAAGATTTTTAAAAATTAAGTGTACTTAGCTCAAACTCTGAATGTATAAAATAGACTGTGTTTCTTTTTTGTTATATATACCCAAGATAGCAAGGCTGGTCATGGCCCAGAAAATTAACACTTTTCTAGACTATACAATAGTAAGGTCAATGATATGATCCAGTGATCAATATTACACACTAGAAAGGCTAAAATAACCAGTTATTTCAATCACAGACAATAGTCTATAAATGGAGCATGGAAGGAATCATGGGTCTTCTTCATAGTCCCATAAAGTGTGAGGATTCCAGGAAGGATGGGCCAGTTTCCACACACTGCCCTGTTCCATTCTCCTGGCTCTGTGTAGACCATCCATCCAATGTGGTATTTAAGAACAATGTGACTTGGGGTACTCCACACTTCATGACACTTTCCTCTGGACTCGCTAAAATGAACATGTGATGTGAAGAGGTTCATATCACACAATCTGATGGGTCTTTGGAGTTTTTAAACTTTTTTCCATATGTCAAAGCACAAAAGATAAATGTTCCAGATGATGCAAATGGACAGGAACTGAACAAGGGCACAAAACAGCAGCAGAGTTACACATTAAAGAATAAACTATTGGCACATTTCATTTGTTCAACAAATACACACATGTTCAAAGATAGGGCAAATTAGGGATCTGCAAACAGTTGGTATCTGCCTTACTCAATAACGTACGAATGACTTCAACCCCTGAGCCTCCTCTGTGTGACTTGCAGGGATTTCTACTTGGGTAGCTAGTTTCTCCTTAATGTACTCCTCTTTCGAGTCCACAAGAATGGGAATACAAGTGCAGCTGTCATCTTTCAGCAAGGTGCGCTCTCAGTACCACTCCCATCCCCACTGCACATAGAAGGTGGGAAAGGAATCTAAAGTAGCCTCTTCTTGGAAAGAGCTGAGGAGCCCCAACCAGATGCTACAGGAACTGATTTCTTCCATATTTGAAAAACACCTATACTCAGCCTTGTGGAACTGCATGAGGCAAAGTTTTAAACAAATACACCATAGCAAGGTAATGTAGCTCAACACACAACCCCACAGTTATTTGGAAGCATGTGCCTTCCAAATAATTAGAGAATTGAATCATCTATACTGCAATCTTCTAGCATCAAAGACTACTTTTAGAGATGAGAGAGGTGCTGGTTAATGAGGTAAAATCTCAAAAAATGGAAAACAGCATCTATTGGGCTCATGAAGTCACTTCATTCAAAAGAATGAGTCTTTTCACCAACCTTAAGGCCACCAAAGAACATTACCAAGAAGTCGTTCCCCTCATATTGTGCTTGTGTTTTATTGACAGGTGACTTCCAACTTCAGTCATTGGATGACTCACACTAAAACAATAGGAAACTTCCAGGTGGTATCACAGTCATTTTACAGGTGGGTGGGTAGAAAGAGCAAGAACCTAATGACAGATAAAGGTCATAGAGTTGGTGGAAGCCTGGAGTCTCTAGTTCTCTGCTACTGCTAAAAACTGGCAGAACAATTCTCTTTAACTTTAAAGAGAATTTAAAATTAAATTGGTAAGGCTAAATTACCAGTTTCCTAGATTTGGTGGGCATGACTTCGAGCTTTGATAGGCACAATTTTAAAAACTAATAACAGGTTATAGAAATTAGGAATTCCTGTGATTTTTTTTGTTTTGTTTCCAAACAAAGTAGTCCAACAGAGACTGACGAATAGCTGAGCCGGACCCTGGTGCCTGGGGATTCTGCGTCACAGTGAAGGACTGTTAACCACATATAGAAATCCAAATGCTCATAAAACGTAGTTTCTCCTGTCCCCACTTCCTCCCCCATCTCCCTGGATGCTACTCTGGGCAAACTTCCCAAATGAAATGAGAGTAATCGTCTGGAAAGTGATTGCAAAGATGCAGCCATGTGGATTCTGCCTGGAGGGATCTCTCCAACCGGGCCAGCCACCAATTGTTCCCCAGAAGGTGGAGGAGACAGCATGCAGGACTCCAGCTCAGTGGAAGAAATGGGCTGGACAGATCTGGGTGCCAGCTGACATCGCATTTCACACCTCATACAGCTGGCTCCTTCCTCATCCCTCACCCTAACAAGACTTCTGCCATCCAAACAGGAGTTTTCTAACACCAGAGCAGCAGGGACCCTAATGTCTGCATGTGATTTTCACAGACCACATCTCTTCTTTAATAAAATATTATCATGTCTTGATTATTCAGACAAATGGAAAGGAACAGATCTGTGAAAAACTCACATGAGTTGGATAATGCCAAATTCACATTCTTCAGAATATAATTTAAATACACACATACATAATCTGTGTCTATACACACACACACACACACAATGTACAAACACTTCCCAGTAATTTAGATATATATTTTGACATTCTTGACCAGTCAGGCCAACTCAGAATATAATTTAAATACACACATACATAATCTGTGTCTATACACACACACACACACACACACACACACACACACACACACAATGTACAAACACTTCCCAGTAATTTAGATATATATTTTGACATTCTTGACCAGTCAGGCCAACTGAAACTAGATCAGGTTACACACTTAGATGCAATCATATATAACAATTTAACAATTTGTGTTCCCACACTTATGCCATTCTGGAAACCCTAAACAAATGAAAAACCTAAAATAGAGATAGGAATTTGCCAAGAATCAGACAGCAAATTATATATAATCCTAACTATGTTTCCTACTTAGTTTCCCGGCAGACTTGCAATTCCAGAATCTATTTCTCAGTTACAATTTAGTTTCCTTTTATGTAAATCCCCCAGCTTTACATAATCTTCTTCTCTTCTATCCACCTGACCTTTATGATCTATGTGATATCTATAGTGTAAACAAATCCCCTAGATTAAGATCAAAGTAATGGCCTTCCAAGTGGTATCCGATACTACTCAACATAAGGCAAAATGGTGGATGTATGGACTACTTTGGATTCTGATTTTCTGGGTTCAAATTTCAGCTGTACAATTTATTAGCTATATGAATTTAAGCAAACTACTTAACCTCTCACTACCTCATTTCCTCATCTGTGAAATGGGAATAACAGTAGCTCCTACGTTGTCAGGTTTTTGTGAGGATCTAATAAGATAATACATGTAAAAGCTTAGAATGGAACTTGGCACACAATAAGCGTTCAATAAAGGTTTGTCAATATGTCAATGATTATAAAGTTAAAAACAATGATAATTTCTACTTCCTCCATTCTCCAGCATCGACTGCTTTGATTTCTCTGGACTCTTTCTCTTTTCATGTTGGGATTCCTTTTGTTATCAAAATTAAAATAAAGTAATAAAACAACAGTGCCCAGAGGTGAGACCAAACCAGGCTAAAAATGAACCGGAGGTTAACATATTTTCAAAACAGCATCAGAAAAGAAGTTAACTTTTCCCACTTGTAGAGACCACCCACCTAGGTAGAAGAGTTTGCAGCAAGGTTCGGCAAAGGGATTCATAATAACTCCTTTTTCAATAGAAGATTTCTTACCTGGAACTCCACTTGGTGGATTAACTCGGTAAATGATGGGTGTCTGTGCCTTGGAAAACTGTTTAGAAAATATTATCACAAGTGAGCATTTCATTAGAATATCCACAAGAGTTGCAAGCCATTCCTCATAAAGCATTAGTCTAAGATAGTAAATGGTTACATTTCCTCAAATCACCTTCACAGCTACTTCTTTTTATCCTCATAATATTTCTGTGAAGCAGTGTTGACAGATATTATATTTCTTCTATAGTTGAGGTAAAGGGCATTTGGTCAAGGTCATACAGCTCTCTATTCTGCATCATATTGTCCAAATCTCAGCAAGCCTGTTTCTGCCTGCCCACCTGCCATACCCAGAAGCAAAGGTAAGGAGGCCATCATCTAGAATATCAATCTTTTAATTTCATTATTGATGGATTTGGATCTTGAAAGTTTTTATTGTTTTAGAAAGGAATTCACTTATTTAATTGGAAGGATCACAACTTAAATAACTATCAGCCAGCACCTTGGTAGAAATCAGCAATCAATAAAAAAAAATGGGAAGTTGAATAGGCACACAAGTAGGGTGCTTGTTATGGAAATGCAAGTTGCCTGCTAGGAGGAAAGTGATTCAAAAGATTCAGGAAATGGGGAGCAACACTGCTCTTCAAAAAGGAGAAAAACAGTGTCAATGGGAGGGGTAGGAGCCTGCGGAAGCCTATTCATGGCACTCCAAATCATTTTACAATTCCCCCTCCACTCCAGAGCACACCATCTACTAACCATAAGCTGCATAAAGGCAGGGACAATGCCTGTTGCATCCCTGTGCATAGGCGGTATGTAGAAGACATTTCAATTTTTGTGAATGATCTGGAATGGCTGATAGACTATGAGGAAGAAGAGGGGGGAATGAAGCAATCCCAGGAATTCTATCTCACCTACAGCATCTGGTTAGCCTAACATTAGTGCATTACTCCATCAAGAAATCACACTGGGGCCAGTGTGAAGAAATGTAGGAGCGTAAGCATGGACTGACCAGGCCAAGATTCAACCCACAAGCTCAAGAAAAGACCTGGTCTCCCCTCCTGCCACCCTCACTCCCCAACCTCCTCTAGATGCTTAGACTGCCTGCATTCCACACACCTGCAGTACTTTCCATTTGCATAACAAATTACAGCAAATTGTTTTGTTTGGTCTGCTTCCAGCACCCCAGGAGTCCGTCTTCCCAGGGAGATAGCACCAAAGAATAACTTCGATGTTAATCAACAGCCCTAATCAGACATTGAGAATCAACAGACATTTCAACAAAGCTGATGGCCGCTTGTCAAGTGTGGGTTTTAAGTATATTTGGTCAAGGTCATACAGCTCTCTATTCTGCATCATATTGTCCAAATCTCAGCAAGCCTGTTTCTGCCTGCCCACCTGCCATACCCAGAAGCAAAGGTAAGGAGGCCATCATCTAGAATATCAATCTTTTAATTTCATTATTGATGGATTTGGATCTTGAAAGTTTTTATTGTTTTAGAAAGGAATTCACTTATTTAATTGGAAGGATCACAACTTAAATAACTATCAGCCAGCACCTTGGTAGAAATCAGCAATCAATAAAAAAAATGGGAAGTTGAATAGGCACACAAGTAGGGTGCTTGTTATGGAAATGCAAGTTGCCTGCTAGGAGGAAAGTGATTCAAAAGATTCAGAAAATGGGGAGCAACACTGCTCTTCAAAAAGGAGAAGTGTCAATGGGAGGGGTAGGAGCCTGCGGAAGCCTATTCATGGCACTCCAAATCATTTTACAATTCCCCCTCCACTCCAAAGCACACCATCTACTAACCATAAGCTGCATAAAGGCAGGGACAATGCCTGTTGCATCCCTGTGCATAGGCGGTATGTAGAAGACATTTCAATTTTTGTGAATGATCTGGAATGGCTGATAGACTATGAGGAAGAAGAGGGGGGAATGAAGCAATCCCAGGAATTCTATCTCACCTACAGCATCTGGTTAGCCTAAGGTTAGTGCATTACTCCATCAAGAAATTACACTGGGGCCAGTGTGAAGAAATGTAGGAGCGTAAGCATGGACTGACCAGGCCAAGATTCAACCCACAAGCTCAAGAAAAGACCTGGTCTCCCCTCCTGCCACCCTCACTCCCCAACCTCCTCTAGATGCTTAGACTGCCTGCATTCCACACACCTGCAGTACTTTCCATTTGCATAACAAATTACAGCAAATTGTTTTGTTTGGTCTGCTTCCAGCACCCCAGGAGTCCGTCTTCCCAGGGAGATAGCACCAAAGAATAACTTCGATGTTAATCAACAGCCCTAATCAGACATTGAGAATCAACAGACATTTCAACAAAGCTGATGGCCGCTTGTCAAGTGTGGGTTTTAAGTATTGATCCACATGGCTGTACAGTCTGCCATCAAGACTAGTTTTTCCCCTTTCTAAAGGAAAGGGTTGAAACATAGTTCACAGAAAATACATGAGGGTCAAAATAAGAATGCTGTGACTTCACAGATTGTGAGCTGGCTCTGATCTCACCAAAAGATAAAGATTAATGCAATTCCATACACGCCTGCCAAGCATTCAATCCCCACCCTGGCCTCCTGGCCATACTGCACTGGCCTTCACCTCCGCTGGGATGGCCTTCGCACCCACGTCATTTCCACTAGAACATCAGAGGAGCCTAGTGAGGGAGAACAGTGGTTATTGCTCCATCTCACAGATGTTGGAAACTGAGGCAGACGGAACAACCGAGTCCAAACCAAATAAGGAAGCATTCCTTTCGATTTTCAATTTGAAACACAAGACCTACCACTCAGTTTGTAATCCTCCTACCATAAGTTTGTGGGGGATATAGCAACTCCTTTGTTACTCCCTCCAAACTCCTCAGATAGCGGTGGGGCAGGCTCAGGGTTAAACCTCCAAAAGGGCTTCACTTGTGATTCTCTCTAAGCAGACATGGCATAAAATGATACATTTCTAAAAGGAACAGGCCCCTGGTCACCCACCAGGCTAGAGACATGACAAAGTGAAAAATTAATGAGCTTCCAAATCAAGCTTCCCACATGCTGATTTTCGAACCTAAGTGAGGTCAGCAGCAACAAGGTGGGGAAAGGAAGAGCAGCAGATTAGAGAGAGAAAGCCACTGCCACCAGCTGCTTGATGAACCTTCTGTGAGTTGCTCAGGCTTGTCAGTGCCCGCAGCAGGCTCTTTGGAGTGGACTGGCAAGATGGAATTAATTTTTAATGCTCACGGTTCCTCCAGTCCCAGCTCCAAAACAAAGAGACACACCGTGTTTTACTTAGCTTGGGATGCCTCTCATTAACTGCATCCCCTGGTGATTTTTCATCAGCTCACCAGGCTAGTTGAACCACTGATGGACTTGTTTTCTTTAATGTGCAATTTTAGGAAGTGTTTCTCTTCTTTCCCCCTCTCTCTCCTTAGCGATCTTTTAATAAGTAGGAAAACTGCTATCTGGGGTGAAAGGGAGCATGGTGATTAAGGAGCAGGCTCTTCTGTTATATTCCCTGAGACTGTGAAGAGGGGGTGGTGTGGCTGTTAATAAGACAGAATGGTATAGTTTTGTTTTTTTCTTTGCTGCATATGTGCAGAAGCAAAATTCCAGAAAACAAGGTTCTCTTGGACTGAGAAACAAGTTGTTATAGGTGAATCGACAGCAAATTCCAAATCTCAGAAACAAATTGCCTATATAAAATCTGGATTGTATTAGAGATGAATTTAGACAGTGAAGTCTTCTTCTAAAGGAGAATTGGTTAATGATTTAATTGTACTCTTTGGAACAGCTGTTAAACAGAGACACCCTGTGTGAAGTACTACCATGGCAATAGGCGCACTGCCAAATCTCTGTCTTTTGTGAAAAGTATTGGACATAACATTTCACAGATCATTTTGGTATTTGGACAGTAGTCTGAGCTAAACATAAAATTAAGCCACAGTGTAGGTATGAGGCTCTAAGGTAAGTCAGGCATTGGCCTCATAAACTCAGTCTTTCTCTCTCTCTCTCTGCTTCCTGTTTGATCTATCTGAGCATGAAGGAGAATTCCACCAGCAAATGTCCTTTCAGTCTAGTACTGGAAAGAGTAGCAGAAATCTACCATAAGCAGAGGGAGAGGTAGAAGTTGGGTCCCTTCACCAGGGAACTTGGGTCCCTGCATCCCTTCACCGTCCTGAAATTCAGCATGATCTCAGCTGTAAAGTGAAACACTGATCCACGAAGGTAATCTCTGTGGCTCCTCTATGGGCTTCAGTTTAGGTGAGAATTTAGTCCTGCAGGTTTAAATCCTGTTTCTGCTATTTACCACCTGGATGGCACACACCAGTTATTTAATCTACCTGAACCTCAGATTGCTCATCTGTAAAATCAAGATAAATAACTATCCCATAAAATTGTCACAAACATTAAGTTTGACAATGTACATAAAGCACTTAGCTAGAGCCTGACGTACACGTGTTCAATATTCATATTTCATTAGTGTAGTCTAAGAAACCCCATTGCTACCATCCACCTGCCTTCTTACTCTGTCAAAGCAGACTCTCTGGATGATTTGCTTGTCAATAACATAAACACACCCTCAAACAAGGCAATAACATAAACACACCCTCAAACAAGGCAAACACACATTCTTCCAACCTTGAAAGTACAGTTGTCTCGTGGTCCTGGACTTGGGCTGCCTACCACCTGTCCCCCAGAGTGTAATTCCAGGGAGTACAGACCCTCGTGTGCTTCAGACAGCAGAGATCTAAGGGCAGAAAGAGGAAATCCTTATAAGTCAAAAAACATGAATTCCCAGAGCTAGCAGCCCACTTGACCACTTCAAATGTCCTCCCTGCACTTGTGAAACAGAGCTGACCCATATTCCTGTATTTCCCTTTTCACCTCCTAGGTCCACTCACAATTACTAGTCTTTAAAGACTGGATCCTTCAGCAAAAGAAGTTATGATTCTTTGCTGTTGTTGAAAATCTCTGGAAGTTAAAAAAAACAAAAACTGTCCTGCTTCTCAGAATCATATGCTCATAAGACTTTAAGAACTGGAAGGGACTTTGATAGATAATCTATTCCTAGTTTCCATCTTACAAAATGACAATTCCAGATAGATTAAGAGACTTTAAAAAAAAAAAAAGAAAGCTTGATTTGATGTGTAAGCAACTAAGATGATTCTGAATAATAGAATGAAATTTAGTTAAAGTTAGTAAAAATTACCTACTTTTTAGCAACTGTGATTAAAAAAAGTGTATGTGAAATAAAATACAATTGTTTTAGTACAATGAACTTGGACTTAAAAGCACATAAAATTTTGTAAACTTCAAAAAAAAGAAAAAAAAAAGAGATGTGAAATAAAATACAATTGTTTTAGTACAATGAACTTGGACTTAAAAGCACATAAAATTTTGTAAACTTCAAAAAAAAGAAACTTTTGTGTATGAACACCAAAGGTTAAGAGCAAAGTGAAGCTCAAATCCTAGGTTTTTTCTAGTAAAAGGAATTGATCTTACTTGTTAACCAAAAACATTCGTGACTTCATAATCATCCAAACAGCCCATAAACATCTCACATAGCCATCAAGACAGAGAGAGTCTTGGACCTCCTCTCCTCTTTTCATGAAAACCACAGTGGCTTCGTTGCCATTTTGAGGCTGACATCCATGTTGACTTTTGTAAGAGGAGAAATATGGTGAATAAGAAAAAAGCTAGATTCAGGAAGTGCCTCCTCTCCAAACCTTCCCAACAAAATCTTTAGTATGACCTTAAATATTTAAATCTGTAGTGTTCATTGTGTTAGCCACTAGCCTTATGTGCTTATTGAACATTTGAAATGTGGGTAGTCCCAATTAAGATACACTATAAATGTAAAAAACACACTGGATTTTGAAAACTTGGTATGCAAGAAAAGGCTATAAAGCATCTCATTAATAATTTGTATAGATTACATATTGAAATGATAATACTTTTGATATATTGGGTTAAATAAAATATATAATTAAAATTAATTTCAATTGTTTCTTTTGGCTTTTTAATGTGGCTACTAGAAAATTTTTAATTATATTTGTGCTCACATATTTTAATTGAGCAGTGCTAAATTTTGAAGCCACAATGGCTGTTTTGAAGAAAGTAGTTATGTCTTTTTATGATAATAAGTATGATGGCATTTCATAGATGACAAACTATACAATTTTTCACACTAAAATGTTAATTGAATTTGATATTTATCCCCCAGTCAATGAGTATATTTAAGAGGGTAGTTTTTTTTTCTCAAAAAAATGACTTAAATGGTGCATCCTAAAATCATTAGTATGTTGGGAATGAGGGGAGAGAAGATATAAATCTTCAGAGCTTTGACTTATTTCATGGCAAGTCCTTGCAGAAATTCTATGCCCAAATATGCCATAAAGCTCAAGGAAAACATATAACTCAGTTTTTAAGCCAATAGTAGTGCTATAAGGAAGTTCAGTTCATCAGACACCTATTGAGCATCTTCTACTTGTAAGGTACTGGGCAATGTACCATAAGGACTACAGTGATGAGATTAAACACAACTCCTGCCCTTGAAGCACTTAATTCTGTGAGGATGACCCTAACGAGCAGGCGACTAACATAAGTGTCATGAGAAACACGGGGCTGAGGAAACAGGGTCACTGAGACTATACATGCTGTGCCTTTGTGTAAATTACAAAAGGTCTTTGCTTCAGGATGATGAACTGCACAGAAAAGTGTGTGTGCACACCCCCCTGTGGATGGATTACTGAAAGGTGTTCCTTCTTCCTGTTTCAAAGAAGGGAAAGGTTACACTCAGTTGTGTGTTCAAGGAAGAGGTGGCATTCGTAGTATGGTTGGTGGACTGAAATAGGCAAAAATGAAAGAAGGGGAGTCTTCATGAAAGAGGGAACAGAAAATGAAAGGAAATGTCAATGGTTTTATCTCTTAACCAATGATCCCCTTTCATGCAGCATCAGTAAGACATGAGTAGAAAAAGAACGAACTAGTGTAAACTTCATAGACCAACAAAAACTTGAGTCAAACAATAAGTTACCTGAAATCCTATACAAATTTTTTTTAAATAAAGATAATGCCAAACTCAGCAAACAAATTGATCCTAAGGTAAGCTTCTTTTCTAACCAGCTTTGAGTTTATGCACCATCTTTACAATTAATGCCTATTTCAAATAATGAGTACATTAGACTGAAAAACAGCACCATTTATTGAAATCTTAATAGGCATAGGACTGTTTGTTTAGAGTATGGTGTTATAACACCAAGATCAAGGGTTTGGATCCCCATACCAGCCAGCCACCAAAAATACAACAAAAAATAAAAATAAAATAAAATAAATATCCATGTGCCCCGCTGATCAAAATAAGTGATTAAAGAAATGAACAAATAAGAGAGAATAATAGCCATGGGGCTGTTGTTAAAAAATAAATTGAAACACAATCCAGCCCCTACTTATAAATACCTCAAATTTCTTTCCCATATGCTCATTCTTCCTTAAGCAACAGAGTCCTGATAGGGACTTTTAAGTATATTTGCATGAGACATTTTCAAAAACTATAGCAAGTAATTGCAGTCACAGCAGGAGTTGCTCTAATACATCACCAAAAGCTACTGATGTAAGCAAAATTCACTCATTCTGTCTGGTCTTCCTATTGGGACAGATATACCTGGTCCGGCACGTCACCACAGGCAAATCCAAGAAGACAGGAGAGACATCACAGGGGACACTAGGCAGTGCAGGCACCATCACGTTCACCAGATGTATCTCCAGCTGAGACCCATTGGTGGGATAAAGGACATCTGACTCCAAACCTAAACACAAGGGAAAAGGGAAATCAGGCTAAGCAGGGTTGTAATCCACATAGGGTAATATAAAATGTGGCCACATGAGGGCAATGTAAGATGCTGAGTTTGCCTAAGGATTAAATTAACACTTATTTCCTCATAGCTGCTGTATAAAGGAGTTTTCTCACTTATGAGTTTATAATACAATTTTCTCTTTTCAGATGCACTTAAATCCAAGAAAGAATTTTTTTCAACCATCAGAGTTACTCTCTATTGTACTAGATAGAGATAGGTATGCTAAGCCATGGTTTAGAAGTTCTCAAGTATAGAATTATCTATCAGGAAGACAACCAAAATTCTTGGGTACACGTTGCCAAGTACTATGCTATGCACCCCATATCATCTCCTGTAGGCTTCCTAGAGTCCCATCCCACAGGTTGGGATAAGACAGTGGACACAGACATGCAGTAGTGTGATGTGCTTTGCTTCTGACATTAGCAAGTGAACATCTGGAAAGACAGAAGTTGGTCAGTCTGTCCATCCCCCTTCAGTCTCTCTCTTACACCTGTCCTTAGACAACAAAGAAAACAGAAGATGCACATTCTTTAGGATTGTGGGTCAATAAATAAATTGTGGGTCATGCACTTAGTAAAACCCAAACCTACCATCAAAAATGACTGTGATCCATGTGCCCCCCGCAAGGCTACCTTCTTCAGGCTCAATACGTAAACTCAGGCGAGGTCCTGTAAGGAAGTGAGAAAAACACTGGATTTGAAGGTCAGATTCTATCCCTCGCTTTCCCAATATTTTAAAGCAAAAAATAGCATGCATTAGAATCACCAGAGGGCCTGATAAAGCACAGATGACTGGGCCCAACCCCAGAGTTTTTGGTTCTGTAGGTCTGAGAAGGGGCCCGCAAATTTCCATTTTTAACCAGATGATGCTGTTCTGGGAAACATACTTCTGAACCCTGTTTTAAGGAAAATTCTGACTGATCTCACTCATCTTAGACATCCAAAAACTCAGTGTTCACCAGGACAATCCTGAATTTCTGCTCCTTTTGGAAAGAGCCTCAGAGACATATTTTGCTCCCAACTGAACCCATACTATCTCCCCTCCCTTCCCCACTCTTTGGTCAAGTGCCCATATTTAATTGTAAAGGTTGCCACTTAGTTCTTTTATGTGCACTTTCTAGACAGGAGGGAAAAGTCCCTTCTGCAAGCTATCCCTACTTCAATTCTCCTGCTTCATATACTGTCTCTCCTAGTTTCCTCTTCTAAATACATGATCAGAATGACTCCCCAAATAGATACAAAATTCCCTAGATTTTTGCCTTGTCTGCTCAGAGAGGGGTTGCAGCATGGCTCATTGCTGGAATTTCATTTAATAAAAAATATCAGGGCTGGACAATTAGCTCAGTTGATTAGAGTGTGGGGTTATAACACCAAAGTCAGGAGTTTGGATCCCCTTACCAGCCAGCCACCAAAAAAATAAATAAATCACATAATAAATCATGTTTATCTTTTTTAAAAAGTCAGTATGGACTTCACATGCTAGACTAGATTGGGTCCTCTTCTATAAGCCATCAGCCAAGCATGACCTTAATCAATCCCTCCATCTTTGAAGATATTCCTGGACATGACTTGGCAAAGTAAAGCCACTTCAAAGAAGCCAGCAAAAATCAATCAGCTCCTCAGTGAGGTAATAAGCAAGGAAAGTGTTATCAACAGAACAATTATTTATTTACATCAAAACTTAGATAATTCAGGCCATGCTAACTGTGGCTAGCCCAGGGCTTCCATGTATAGTTATGCAGGATGTGCTCTGCACACCAGACAGTGAAGAACCATCCACATCAACACAATCATCCATGGCAGCCCCAGCCAGACCAGACCACCCCTACCCCTCAAAGATGATAAGGTACTTTTATCTAAAGACCAAGAAACAAATGCCATGAAAAAATATAGAGAGGATAACCAAATTCACAGAGAAAATTGAACACAATCATCCATGGCAGCCCCAGCCAGACCAGACCACCCCTACCCCTCAAAGATGATAAGATACTTTTATCTAAAGACCAAGAAACAAATGCCATGAAAAAATATAGAGAGGATAACCAAATTCACAGAGAAAATTGAAGACATGATTTGAGAAGATTGGAGATTGGAGACATGATTTGAGAAGATTGGAGATTGTAATACAAGTACTCATTAATCACTACAGCAAGGTAAGTTACTCTCTTTAGGAAGGTAGAAAAGAATTACATTATATAGCCCCAAAAGGAATTATACAAAAAAAAGTTACAAGTTATTAAAAGTTCTGAACTATAACAGCAAACTCCACTGGCAATTAAAAATTGAAATATCGGGCCAACCCCGTGGCTCACTCGGGAGAGTGCGGCTCTGGGAGCACAGCAGCGCTCCTGCTGTGGGTTCGGATCCTATATAGGGATGGCCAGTGCACTCACTGGCTGAGCGTGGTGCGGGCAACACCAAGCCAAGGGTTACAATCCCCTTACTGGTCACACAAACAAAAGAAAAAAAATTGAAATATCAATTCATAACAATTTAGTATATAACCTTAGCTATCAAACAGAAAAATTTATTAAACAAAAAATATTCAAGGATGCCCACTCTCACCACTCCTACTCAACATAGTGTTGGAAGTACTAGACAGAGCAATCAGAGAAGAGAAGGAAATAAAGGGCATCCAGATTAGAAAAGATGAAGTCAAACTGTCCCTGTTTGCAGATGATATAATCCTATATATCAAACACCTTAAAGCCTCTACAAAAAAACTCTTAGAGTTGATAAATGATTTCAGCAAAGTTGCAGGATACAAAATCAACACAAAAAATCAGTAGCATTTCTATACTCTGACAGTGAACATGCAGAAGAAGAAATCAAGAAAGCTTGCCCACTTACAATAGCTACCAAAAAAATAAAATATTTAGGAATAGAGTTAACCAAGGATGTGAAAAATCTCTATGAAGAGAAATACAAACCACTGCTGAGAGAAATTAGAGAGGATACAAGAAGATGGAAAGATATCCCATGTTCTTGGATTGGAAGAATTAACATTGTGAAAATGTCCATATTACCCAAAGTGATCTACAGATTCAATGCAATCCCCATCAAAATTCCAATGACATTTTCCTCAGACATGGAAAAAACTATCCAGACATTTATATGGAATAACAAAAAAACACAAATAACCAAAGCAATCCTAAGCAAAAAAAATAAATAAATAAAGCTAGAAGCATAACACTACCTGACTTTAAACTATATTACAAAGCTATAATAACCAAAACAGCATGGTACATGCCTAAAAACAGACACACAGATCAATGGAATAGAATAGAGAACCCAGAAATCAACCCATACACCTACAGCCATCTGATCTTTGACTAAGGCACCAGTCTACACATTGGGGAAGAGACTTCCTCTTCAGCAAATGGTGCTAGGAAATCCTGAAACAATAAAACTGCTTGAAAAAAAAATAGGGGAAACACTCCAGAAAGTAGGAGTGGGTACAGACTTCATGAATAGGACCCAAAAAGCACAGGAAACTATAGGAAAAATAAACAAATGGGATTATATCAAACTAAAAAAGTGAAAAGACAACCAACAGAGTGGGAGAAAATATTTGCAAAATATACATCTGACAAAGGATTAATATCCAGAATATACAGGAACTCAAACAACTTTACAGTAAAAAAACAACCCAATTTTAAAATGGGCAAAGGAGCTGAATTGGCATTTCTCTAAGGAAGATATATGAATGGCCAACAGACACATGAAAAAATGCTCAACATCACTTGGCATTCGGGAAATGCAAATCAAAACCACCTTGAGATACCATCTCACTCAAGTTAGGATGGCTAATATCCAACAAAGTGGGAATGATAAATGCTGACAAGGTTGTGGAGGAAAAGGAACTCTCATACACTGTCGGTGGGACTGCAAAATGGTGCAGCCTTTATGGAATACGGTATGGAGTTTCCTCAAACAATTACTGATAGATCTACCATATGACCCAGTGATTCCACTGCTGGGAATATACCCAGCGGAATGGAAATCATTATGTCGAAGGGATACCTTACTCGCATGTTTATTGTAGCACTATTTACAATAGCTGAGAGTTGGAACCAGCCCACATGTCCATCATCAGATGAGTGGATAAGGAAACCGTGGTATATCTACACAATGGAATACTACTCTGCTATAAAAAAGAATGAAATACTACCATTCACAACAACATGGATGGACCTAGAGAAAATTATACTAAGTGAAACAAGTCAGGCACAGAAAGAGAAATGCCACATATTCTCACTTATTTGTGGGAGCTAAAAATAAATAAATAAATATACCAACAAATAAATGGTAGGGTGGGAGAAGACACAATGATCACAACAATTCCTTGAACTTGTTAAGACAAGTGAACAGATATGAGGTAGTTGGGGGCAGGGAGAGTGAGAGGGGGGGAAAGAGGAATGGGTAAGGGGACATGAAAATCAACTACAATGTATATTGAGAAGTTAAAATAAAAGAAAAAGAAAATTTAAGGCCAGAAGCAGATACCTCAACACCTCCTCCCAAAATGATATTTTTTAAATTTATTTTTTCAATTGACAAATACAAATTATATATATTTATGGTGACAACCAAAATAATATTTTAAGTATAAATAAGAGTTTTCAAGATAACTTAGTATGTTCTTATCTATAATCCCTTCAGAACACATTCTACTCACCTGCCAAAAGTAGTACTTCAATACTTATCAGAGAGATGAGCCAGACATTCATCTTGTTCACTTAAATCAATCCTCTCAAGATTGCTCAGATATTAAAAGCATTTTCAATTTTGATTGGAGCAGCATAGCTTTTGTGCTTTATAAAAAAGTAAAGTAAAAAATTACTATCATTTTTGCTTACATACTCTTATTTTGCAATACTGAAACTTGGGAAATTAAGGAAATGATATAACTATGCCCCTAGTGTCTTCAAAGGGACCTACCATATTTTCAAGCTTGGGAGAAATCACCACTCTGCCCACCTTGTATCACCAGCTTATTTTATGCATGTTTAAGTGGGTAAATCAGAATAACCTCTTTCATTTATTCATTATTGAACAAAAGCTGAATTTTTACAAATAAATTCTAGATATCAAAATTCTGTTTATGTGGGGGGAAGGATCTGTTTTGTTTTGTTTTGCTTCTGGAAGAGTCTCTGCCCTCAGGAACCTCAGGAATAAAGTAAAAAGCTTAACAAGGTGAATGCTAAGTATGGTTATGGACTGAGAAAATGGTACCTAAGAAGAATTTGGGGAAAATTGTCTTATCCTCACAGCAGAGGAGGAAGGGAGGAAAGAAACAGAAGAAGGAAGAGCAGGACCCTCCAGACTGGACCCTAGGACTCCAGGGTCTCTCTAGCCCACCCCACGATGCCCACCTCTGCCAGCCTCATCTTCCTTAAGCACAGCTTCATTGTGCCATTCTCTGTTTAAAGAGAACTCAATGCAGAAGCTCCATCACTTGTAAAATGATGGTAAGAACTTTCCTCTTAGTATCTTTATCAAGATTAAATGAGATGATGTATACAAAGAAATTAACACAGAGCTTGGCCCAAAGGAAACAGCCACAAATGTTAGATTTCCTTTCACAGGCTCTCTATCTCTGACAAACCCAACGTAAAATCATCTGTCTGTCTTTTCAGTCACTCCAAGACCTGTCCCCAGCCTACCATTCCAGCTTTTCCTCACGTTGCTGTCCTCACTACCACTCAAGAGAAGCCCCCCCACACATCAGCCTCTGATCTGGCTCCTGCTGGTCCCTTGCTGGATTCCTCAAACTCTCTCTGTGGCCTAATGAGATCCATGGCCTTCCTGCATGACCCTGCTCAGCAGCGTCCTCCTCCACCAAATCCTTCCCCAGCCATTCTAGCTCTCATCAGCCTCCCCCCAGCCTCTAGCTTGTGTCCTGTAGAACCTGGAGCAGAGATGTAGTACCACAAATGCTTCTTCTAGAAGACGCATTCCTCAAAGAGAATCAGGAACCCATCTTCTATTTCCGCAACCTCTTAGCATGAAGGTCCCACAGAAGGCTCAGTAAATTCTAACTGATGAATATACATTGAAATATCCTAAATCTGGGTTTACCTAATCTGAGAGCAATGATTTGCATGTATGTGGGGGATGGGCGGACTCCACAGATACCTGGCTGAAATACCCATGACTGTTCTAGAAGGGATACTGAGCTACTCGCCAGCACCCCCAAGTCAGAGGGCAAGACTAAATCCTCTTTAAAATGATTGCTCTGAAATTTTATGAAAATTCAAAAACTTATAGAATTAAATTCACACACATACATTACTAAATACACACTTAATTTCTTTTTTTAAGAAAATACTGAGACTTAGCAGAAGTAGTTACACCATTTCAGAAAACACAAAAGCCACAGTAAACTTCCAGGAAAAGAATATATGCAAAAAAACTTACAATAAACTTATCTTACAGGTATGGCCTGATTAAGATAGCCTGAAATATAAAATAATTTATATTTATATTTAATTCAGTGCTGCAAATATTTATTATATGTCTCCTTTATGCTGGGCAGTGTGCTAGGAGCTGGGAAGACAGACAATCTGTGCACCTGCCCTCAAGTCATTATCAAATGGAGTCAGAAGGAAGGCTACTTGTCTTTAGGAAAGGAGTTCTAAAATTTCCAAGTGGATTCAGCAAGTATTCTTTTAAGCTGCAAGATTCCCTATACGTTTACATCTGTTTGGAATAGAATTCAATTTACATTCAATTTTCAGAAACACATTTTTACTTCACAGAGAAAGGTACCCAGGAGTATTTACTACTTAGTTCGAAACACAGGATCTGACTTGTTTGCTGCACCCAACAGAATATGCTCAGCACAGGAGAGTCTATTTTCAATCTGGCTGAATGATTTTAATATTTTATTTCAGCACCTACTCCCAAGCTCAGAACGATGGAAATAAACATTCACACATTGATTTTCTTAAAGCCTCATGCTCAGACCTGCATCCTTTCCTCTAAAATAGAGCAATCAAATCAATAATAAATGTGCTTCTTCTTAGTGTGGATTAATCAATCCAATAATTCTTCCTAAGAATAAACTCAGTCTGTATTTCTTTTCACCAGAAAATGTTCGTCCACACACGAGAGTTGCGTTCATTTAGTCCAGTCCTCTTTTTCCTCTCGTCTTTCTTCTCTCTCTGCTCTCATTCTCGCCTCTTCCTTTCTCCCTCCCTCCCCCCCCCTCAGGTTCCCCCCATTTGGGACACTGAGGAACAAAGCCTCTAGGCGCTACTGTAGATCTCCCATTCTTTTTGTTCACCACAGCATTAGCAAGAGATACAACACCTAGAAAATAGACAGCAGAGACCTTTCTGAATCAAACAGTACCTTTTTTCTGTTTCTCTCTCGTTGTGATTCAAGGGAGAAATTATCTTTCCCTTCTAAATGATCTTGTTTCTCTGCCTGCCGAGAACCGATGGCAGTGTTATCTGGTTAGAGCCCAGCCTGCAGCTACCGTGCAGGTAACCCACTCATGTTGGACTCACCTAACCCGTCTGCGTCCCAGCCAAATGTGTACCAGAGTAAAAGTTCAGAGCTGACTGGAGGGCAAGTTTAATGATTAACACCAGCTATTTAGGCTTTTTCCTCCAGGCCCTCTGTTAATGACCAAAGAAAGAGTGTCTCACATTTTTCTCCACTCACTGAGTATACTCCAGACAAGAATTTTAAGCAATAGTCCACCCAGAGAGACAAGCAGGCATTCAAAGTTGAAAGAATTTGCCGATAAGTCAGTGACCAAGCAGAAGGCCCAGGAGAAAGGCCATGAGAGGGCTGACCCCTGTTCACGAGGGGTCTCTGGTTCTTCATCAGGAAGAGTGACTCAGAGATGCTGCACTCTGGGTTGACATTCTCATATCACCATAGGGGTATAGATCTAAAGAAGCGAGGAAAGGAAGCGACTTGTTCAAAGTCTTGCTGAGAAAGGGTTAACTAGCCCTCTTTCTTTTCCTTTTACTTTCCATCCTCTCTCTTGATCTTGCTTTCTCAGCCAAGAGGAAGTCCTTGACTTGCACTTGTCCCCTTCCAGTAGGACCCAGACCATGTTTCAATCATTGGTTTGACCATCTCTTAATAAATAATCAGAGAACTAGTGAGCCTAGGAGTGTCAACCCCACATTCTCACTTAGGTCCACATCTGACTTCTCTGTTCTTGCCCCACTGTCCATTTCAATTTACATCACCGGTTTCCTGATCATGACAGTCTATGCCCAATGTTACCTGACTGGAAGATGTTCTCATCTTCTTTCCTCACCCTTTAATTTGGAAGAGGAGTCGTTCTGGTAGAATTTGATAGTCCCAAGTCTTCACCTCCAAGGACTGTTAATAGACCTAGGGAAGCATCCTCAGCAAGACCAGATTTGATCCATGGTAATACAGCTCAATTCTGAGGATAACAGTAAAACTATCCTCTAGAAAGTGTGAGGATTTACACCAACTCTTCTGTATAATCAAACGTTGGCAACCAGTGATAAGCCAAATGATTTTCACAGTGCTGCAGCCAGTCGTGTAGAGAGAGGGTGTCTGGCCAAGTGGGGACAGGTAGGGAGTCAATCGCCCTGACACCTGCCTGCCTGCTGACCCTCAGTTTCCACTGTGCATCCCTCCAATGAAATTCAATGGCATCATTTGAACCACATTTGTGTGCCTGGCATATGGGCAATGGCAAGGAGGGGACAGACCGTATTTGGGGGACGTAGTCAATGGAGATTCCAACATTACTGGTATTTTTTTATTTTTGTAAAGAATATCACATTAGTGAATTAGTTAGATGATTCAAAATTATTTTTTTAAAGAATATGACAGAATTCCCACCTTCAAAGTGTTTGTCATCTGGCAGGGAGACAGAAACGTAATCTGATTATTTTACTATATCATTGTACAGTATCCTGATAAAGACTTAATTCATGTTTTATATCTTGCAACTTCAGCCAAAGGCTTTCATGAATTAACTCCATCTATTCTTGGGTAAATAGCCTATAATGGTTATTTATAATTTTTTTTTTGACAGCCCAACTATCAAGACCTCATCCTAAAAGCACCGCAATCTTCTTATGGGAGTATTTACCTCTCCACTGTTGACCAAAAAAATCCTAATGATACCCAAGACTTCGGTTTCTGTGGTCTGTGCTCTAGGAACTTTCTGGTGGGCAATCAAGCTCTAATGTTAAAGAAATGAAGAAGAATGAGCCATTTCAAGCCCCAAAGCCTAAAAAGAGAAGTAGCAGAACCCTTCCAGCAGTGGCTATGCCACATGGAGGCCTTCCCCATGGGCACCATCATCCACCCCAAGACCCTGAGATGTACACACATACCTACGTTTGCTATGCCTCTAGACAAGCCCCACCTTTCTACCTCATCGTAGTCCAAAGCTCCTCTCACACAGAAATTCTAAATAACATCTTGAGCCCAGGTCTCTGACCCAGGGATGAGGATGCTCCTCAGAAAGCAGCCTGAGCATGATTCCCTGCCACTCCAAGAAGGGTAGCCATGCCCACCCCCAGACAATGGCAATATGCCACAGCAAGCTACTTCCACAAGTGTTTGTGAAATTCTTAGCACAAAAATTATTGCTGAGGCCCATGGAGCAAACCTGAGAAGGTCAAGGGAGAAGGTCATTCTCTGACCCTTTTCTTTTGTATCCCAGCACCACCCTGAATTCCTGGGAAACTGTGAGGGGCCATGAGAATGCACGTTGCAGATT